ACTTATGATAATCTCATAAACTACCTACTATGTAAGGCAGAACCTGAAATAAAATACTACTATGAATAACTGAAAACTATCATGCATTGTTTCCTTTAATTTTTGATAAATGACTCTTCATGATTTCTTTCCCTTCCAAAAGAGCACAATTAACTTTGTTTCAGAATACCAATTTCTTAGAACCCTAATAGAGTTATATTATGGTATTTTCATAGTCATTCATTAAGCTATAGGTTAAATGCCATGCTAATGTATTCAACCTCTGTACTCTAGCAACACCTTGGGTTTACAGGAATAAGATGTGAGGTACACCAGAAATACTGCCATTTGAGGTGTCGGTTTTCAATATTTTGGGCATAAGGAATTATAAGATAAATATTTCCTCATCTGAGAAGGAAGTACAGAAAAAAATGGGCAAAAATAAAAAAGAGTGAGCAAGGTGAAGAATGGAGGAGAAACAGTCAAGTGAGAAGTGATGAGGATGGTAAGGGAAAGAAGAAGAAAATGGAATTAAGAAAAAAAAACCTTAAAAAATAAAGACAACAATTTAGTAAATTTAAAAACAGAGAGAGAAAGAAAGAACATCTGGTGTTAGTCAATATCAAGGTATTGATTCCATTCAATAAGCCATCCAACTTCCTGCTGAAGTTCAGGGACTGGGCGGTAGGGTGAGTGGGAGGGGAGGGGAGAGCTGGACTTTAAAGGGTCACCATATTCTGTATCCATTCTGATGATGCTGGTTTCCCTTGTAAATGATAATCTCCTGTTCTGGGGTTAAAAGGAGCAAGAGGGTGAAGACAAAGTCAAAAAGGAGAGACTAGACGTGAGAGTAAGAGAGAATAAGGGAGATACTTTTGAGAATTATATAAATGAAGCTAGAATGACCTTTCCAGATGACTCAATAGTCCTTTAATATGTTCCCTTTCCCCAGCCCCCACTGCCACAACCTGTAAGTCTTTTTGAGCAATGTTTACCATTTGGTGTATAATAAAGAACACTAGCTTACAGTACTCATCTTCCATTTCTCACTAATCAATGTCCAACATCCCAACTATTTGCTCTAATCTATCTTTTTGACTATCCCAACCTAGTTATTTTCCACTCCAGTAGCCTCTGTAGCCACATGTATTAAACCATTTTGTGCCAGAATGTAGTCACCAGGTTCCAGAAGACCTTTCAAAATAATAGTGAATATGTTTTAATATTTACACAAAATGAAAGGAAATTTTCCAAATGCTGGATTCAACCACCACATACCCCACTCCTTTGAACTGATATTCCTAAGAAGAAAATATCTGTTTTTAGTATGGATAGAATCTTTAAAACACTTACACACCAAAAACAGTATTAACATAAAATTTAACAGATTCATTAGGAATATGCCCCGATAGATTTAATAACTATAAATAATCTCATCAGCTAAAAAAACGTGTTAAAAGTGCATCGTGAGGGCAGAGTTGCTGGTTCAAACTATGCCGAGGTATCTCCCAGAGACAGGGATGTAGTGGCAGATGAAGTGGAAAAAATCTTGGGAGATTCCAGCAGCTTTGAGGAGTTGGATCTTCACTGGCGGGGAAGACATGCAATAGGGCTCAGTCTGCTTTGCTTGGATGTTCATGATTTTTTCTTCTTCCTACCTGGCAGCCACAGTTTCTCAGCCACAGAAGTAGGTTGATTTGAAAAGCTTAAAAGCCATTTATAATAAAGAATATAGCAATATGAAAAAGGACATAAGACTTCCAGTTTCACTTCAAATAAGAAAATATACGTTTTAAAGAGAGAGCAAACTAGAAAATACATACATCTAATTGGACATCTTGAAGATATACCATACTAACAATTTTTTAAAAATAGTATTTGAATTCATCTGTGAGTTATTCAACTTTCTCAGACCTTAGGGAAAAATTTCAAGATGCTTTTCTATGTATTTTAAAATAAGAAAAGTTGTCAGATTTTATATTGAATATTACTACCTTTAGCAGTAATAAATTTTAGCATTACAAAAAAATACTAACTGGGCTAATAACATTCAAAATATAAGACTGAACAATACTCTTCATTATTGAATCTAAATTGGTATAGAACAATATTGGCAATTATCCCACTATTCTGGTCAATTAATTACTGGATTAAAAAATAATATTAAATAAGTGTTTCAAATGTATTAGTCTACCCCTTAATGTAGTTATTATATCATAACTAACCCTTAATGTCTTTGGTAATTAATGAAGGGACAGAAGGGGTAACTGTAGACTACAAATAATTAATACTTGTTTCAACTCATTTATCTACCTACCAAACCTTTTATAGTAATAAAACCAAGATAATTTCCATTTCATCACCTCTGTATATTGTCTAGTAAGAAGTTAAAAGCACTGTACAGACCACGAAGGAGGCAACAGCAAGAAAGAGAGAGCAGACTAGGATGCATTTAATAAAATGAGCCATTCTTACACAAATAGACCTCTCATTTGAACACAAAGAAGATAATCTGGTAATTGATCATATTATTAAGGAAAGTTACTTTTAAGGAATTGAACACATTCTCCTGTCAGAGGATGTCTCTATTATCATCCAAAATGAACATTTAGGTTCTAGTAGCAGTCTGTCGAGACGCCAGACTCCAATTGGCCCAAGAGTTGTTGCAGGTAAAAGAGGGGAAGGTGGGTTGGAAGGTTAATTTTTATTGAGCTCTTAATGTGTGCCTGGTATTGTAATAGGTGTTTTACATATAGACCTGAAGGAAAGGAGTGAGGAAGTAGCAATAAAGTTAAATTTCTAACCCATTTCTAATTTTATTCCAACTGATTCACTGCCCTAGTTATGTAAATTCTCACTCCCCTTCCTCTTCTCTTACCTTTGCCAGCCCCCCTTAATCTCTCACTGAACCTGAGTTTCACTTACATGATCATTAGACTTCTTACCCCTTTTGCTTGATAATTTTGTAATTTGAGTTTGGGGAGAGAATATACTAAAACTGAAGGCCTTAGAGTCAGAGAGCTTTGAGTTGCAGGTGAGTTAATCATTTTGGGTCTCAATTTCCACATGCACTTTTTGTATAATTATTTTAAGTAGTAAATGAGATAAAATATGTAAAGTATGTAATACAATGCTCGGCACACTGTAAGAACTCAGTAAACATTGGCTATGGTTATTATTATTATAAAAAGGTAAACTGATACTTAAATAGTTACTATGATTCAATTAAAGCCAAAAGTCAATTTCAGGGCAAAACTTGGAAGCAAGTTTCCCCAACTATCATTCTGTGTTGCTTTCAATATTTTAGAATATTACTGTGATGCAAAGATGTATTTACACATTCTCACAGTATTTAAGTGTTACCAATCTATACAGATTTTATTAGTTCCCTTGTAGTCCTTTGAAAACTTTCATATTCATTTGATCAACATCAGAATCTTTGTCCCACAAACAGTATCCTTTAAGCAATTTTATTTTTCATTAGAGACTAATTCCACCCACTTAGAATTGACCAACTGGAAACTGGTCCAGCTATTGAACAGATGTCATATTTGTTCAGGTCACATTGCAAAAATGACGTAGCACGAAATTGCAAGAGGGAGAAGCTGCCCATCTACTGAAGCAGCTGCTTTAAGCCACTGCCCAAATCCTCATCCTAGGGGACAAGAGACTTTAGTTAGGACAACCACTTTGTATGGTTTCTAGTAATGACAACTTTCTCATTATGAGAAATGTCATAGTGTGGAAAGGCTTTGCTGATGACCAGAATTCTGTATTAATTATTAGTAAACACCTATACATTTAATTTTTAAATTCATTAATTTTTATTCACTTAAGTTAATGAACTCACTGAAGAAATGGTGTAACTTTAACTTTAATTATCAGTATTCAGGAGCCCCTCCCTAATAGCATAAAGTTCTCAGTTTACTCAAAGCCAAAAGTGAAATGACTTCTGCCTTCACATCAGAATCAGTGAGAAAGACTGGAGTTTTTCATACCAGTCTCCTTACCCCCAAATATAGACTTTCCTTTTAATAGTTTCTTTTATGACTAGAACAGGCAAAAACAAATTTAGTTAAAAGGCACAATAAGAAATAATTATTCACTCCAAAGGATGGTGAGCTGTAAGTAGAATATTTACCAGAAAAAAACACATTTTTTTCAAATGAAGTTTATTATATTGATAATCAGATTATTTTAACTTCATTTGTTTTAGAGAGTATACTTTATTTTGGCAGATACAGAAGAAGAAAGTAAATCAACTGAGACAGAAAATGGCCCAAAGTGAAAATCATATGATATTCATTTTCTAAAACTAACAATAAGAAAAATAGCCCTTGAAAGTCTACCATAGACAGAAAAACGCCACTGTTTCAAGATCTCAGCTTAGCAAGGGATTTGTGAGGTTCACAGAGCAAGAAAATTTTGTGAACTTATTTAGTTACATGCAACAGTTTTAAACAAAAACTGTAGTCCTCTTTGGGGAACTGAAGAGCCAATTTGGCTATTAATTCTTAAATTTGTTTTAAAAAAATCAACATTTCAAATAAACCCATCTACCAGACACTTTGGTGAACAAATCAATATTAAAGTAGATGAATGAATGTATGCCCTTACAAAACATATCTACTAGGTAATTCTGTAGTTTGTAAAGTAAAAACTTAAAAGTTTTATCCAGAAAAGGCTGAATTTGTGTGCATCATCACTTTAATTTTTAGTCTAAAATTATTATCTCAGTTCATGGGGCATATAACATTATCTTGTACCTGTCTATATAGAAATGTGTATATATAACCTCAGCCAACACCAGTATTTCCAAGACTTGTATTAACACTACGGTTTTTTAAAAACTATGTCTCATCTTGTCAAATAATTAAGAATATTCATTCAGCTATCTGAAAAAAAGGCTACTCAATCTTTTTGTACAAAAACAGGCATTTCATCTCATTGATATCCTTTTAAAGCTTTAGCAAATCTTTATATTATTTCCTCCCACTGACTCATAAAGTAATTATACATACCACAGTCTGATGATTAACTTGAATCACTTCATCTCCAGCATGGATTTTCTTGCACCGATCTGCAGGTGACTGAATTTAAATAATGGAAATGATAAAGAACATAAATTTTATCACTCATTTCCTTTCCCTGAAAATACTATAATAAGTTTACCTCTTTAAATTAGATCAAGAAATTAATTAATCTTTAAAAAATTAAACAAAATGACTACTAATGTTTAATATATTATTTGCACTCTATAGATAACTAATAATAGAAAGTAGGATTTACTTTAAAAGTGATTTCCGGTTTATTTTTTATTCATTCCCAATTTCTAATTATTTCAAAACAAAGAAGTCTTGAAACAATATTAACCTCAATTCAACAAAATTTGAAATTCACAAAAGGATGATGTCATAGGTCAGAATTCAAGATAGGATAATAGCTCAGAGAATTCTAGTTACTCAAGTAATAACACAAATATATTCTTAAGAGGGTAGTTCGTCTAGGATATGAACTCAACCCTCAGAATGGTACCATAACAAGAAAAAAATGTATTTTTTTCACAGGACCTTTAGGAGGTAGGCATATCATCAAATCAGACAAGTACCATGCAACAATTGTGAAAAGTGTGTAAATCATTACTATAATAGGGCTGTAACTATACTCGGTGCCTGTGCTATCTGGCTCACAACTGACCTTTTTAAAGGAGAGTATAGAAGAAAAATATCAAGCCAATGGTTCTAACCATGGTGCGAGAAAATGATAGTTGGTATATAAAATTGAAAGAAACTGAAACAACCTCTTTCACAGATAAGTAAAAAAAGGAATAAGTCATATAAATCATAGACTTTGAGTGTCAGATGGGACCCTAGATATCATGTTGTCCAAACTTCTCATTTTACCTAAAAGAAAAAAACAAAACTAGGACAGAGCAAAGCAAAATAGCTTAACCACTTTAGTTAGCAGCTTTACTAAGACTCAACACAGATCTACTCATGATATATGATTGAGGGTACCAATAATAGTAAAATGTTTTCAAGAAAAAAGAATTAAATGATAAGCCATTAATATAAGGTTCATATCTGAACTACTCATAGAATTAATCTTTGTTTGGTCACTAACCATTTATCAAATATTACTGAGTATAATTAATATGAGCAGTACATAGTACTCAACTTTTTTATAGACCCCAGACAATACAGAGATGCATTCCTATCAACTCTTTAAGATATAGTTCAAAATCATTTCTGTGATTACTTCTCTGGTTTCATTTGCAGCATTTATGATTCTTTCCTTGTCTGACTACACAAATTTCAGTACCTGTGTACACACATAATCCCCTAGTTGCATTCCTTAGGAAAAGCAAGCTAGTTTAGTTTAAAAATTCTTTGGAGTACCTGGGTGGCTCAGTCATTAAGCATCTGCCTTTGGCTCAAGTCATGATCCCTGGGACCTGGGATTAACCCCGGCATCCACCTCCCTGCTCAGCAGGAAGCCTGCTTCTCCCTCTCCCACTCCCCCTGCTGGTGTTCCCTCTCTCACTGTCTCTCTTTCTATGTCAAATAAAAAAATAAACAAATCTTTAAAAAAATAAAAATGCTTTCAATACCTAGCCCCATGCCTGGAACATAGCAGACATGAAACAAAAGTTTGTTACAAGAACAAATGAATAAATGAATGATCAGAGAAATGTACAAATAAACAAAAATGATCAATCAATGATAGGAGTATCGTTCACAGTACCTTACTGCATTTAAAAATTTTAACTGGTTGACAATATGCATATAACTGATATTTCTGACCTCATATTTTATACTAAATGTGAAGCTAGTATAGTAATCCAACTGTAGTGTATATTATATGTTTCACTCTTCTCAATAAACCAAGAGAAGTGAGTGGGCAAAAAGGCAATAAATGATTAAAGTAGTAAGTGAACTAGATGAAAGAATGTTGATTTAAAAAAAAAGAAAATGCTAGTAAAATATTGAGATCTATAACAACTTGAGATTAACTCCGCCCTAGTCTTCTTTGAAGGGACATAGTATAAACATGTAATTTGTCAGAATTTCTAAAAGAAAATAAAATTCAAACTCAGCACTTGCTTAAGAGTAAGATGGAAGTCTGGGAAAACCAAATGAAGGAATAATGATTTATTATACTATTCAAATCTATTTTAGTGATCATGTTCAGGCTCAACACAATCACTTCACATTTCTGTAGCTCTTTATTGCATATGCTTTCGCATTTATTAGCTTATTTTCACATCAACTTAGTGAGGTATGTCATACAGATAATATTTCCAATTTATAGTTGAGGAAATGAAAGCAATGACAGGGTAAGTGACTTGCCAAAAATTATACTGCCATTAAGGTGCAGAACCCATTGTAGGACCTAGGCCTAGGGACTCTTGACCCGCTGCTTGTCTTGGTTCTCAAATTTGAGCATATTTTAGAATTACCTGTTAAAATCTCTTGGGGCCCCTGGATGGCTCAGGTGGTTGGGTGTCTGCCTTTGGCTCAGATAGTGATCCCAGGGTCCTGAGATCAAGTCCAGCATTAGGCTCCCTACTCAGTGGGAGCCTGCTTCTCCCTCTGCCCTCCCCATAGCTTTCGTGCTCTCTCTTAAGCACATGATTTCTCTCTCAAATAAATAAATAAAATCTTTAAAAACAAAAAACAAAATCTCTTAAGAAACAGGCTGGTCTCCAGAATTTCTGATTCAGTAGTTCTGGGGTGGGGCCCAAGAATTTGTATCTCTAACAAGTCTCCAAGGGAGGCTGCTGCTGCTGATCCAAGGAGGGAACTCACGGTGAAAACCAGTGAGCTATACCATGCTCTCTCTTCATTGAATTAAGCTCAATGACAGTGCATATTCAGAAAGCCTGAATTATCTGATGTTTCTTTCTTATGTAAGTTTCTTAATATAGCTAAACTATTTGACAGATGAAAGTGTGGATTCTTTTAGATGTCACAGCAACTTGTCATAAGCCAGAAAATACTTAACAAAGACAAATCTCTGGCTGTGAACAGAAAACATCTGATTTAGTCCAAGTAAATAGGTACTCTAAACTAAATAAAATGATTGAAATTCTCCCCAAACCAGCAGTTACTAACTCAATGTGTTCTTTTAGTTTTTTTCTCCTAATCTGTTCATGTCTTCAGAAGTCAACCTCAATTATGTGAGATATATAAATTGTTTAACAATAAAAAGAAAACAACACTATAATCTGAAATGTTATAATACTTACATTTTCTGTAGTTCCAGTAATTACATGGAGGCCATCATATGTTGATTTAATATACATACCCTAGAAAAAGAAAGCATCAGAAAAAAATACAATTGGAATGTTTTCAATATATTATAAAATCATTAAAAAAATTATCCTATCAAAATTGCCACATGTTCCATGAATCCATATTCAATAATGTCAAGTTTAAATTAGTAAAAAATTCCTATCTGAACGTTCTGGTTTTTAAAGTTTGCCTTAAGAAACCTGTACTCAGGGACGCCTGGGTGGCTCAGTTGGTTAAGCAGCTGCCTTCGGCTCAGGTCATGATCCCAGCGCCCTGGGATCAAGTCCCACATCGGGCTCCTTGCTCGGCAGGGAGCCTGCTCCTCCCTCTGCCTCTGCCTGCCATTCTGTCTGCCTGTGCTCGCTCTCTCTCCCTCTCTCTCTCTGACAAATAAATGAATAAAAAATCTAAAAAAAAACCAAAAAACAAAAAAACTCTGTACTTAACTTAATCAAATAACTACTTGATAAGTAAATTGCCTATGAAACTTAAAATATGTAGCAATTCAATATTCTGAAGAAAGAACACACCTTACTCCTTCAACAGTACTTACTATTTGTTTTGTGGCAAAATAAAAGTTATAAAGGGAAATTCAAATATTAGTTATTAGCATGTTATACTTGATATATATTACACAATAAAAGGTAGGTTTCTACAGAGCTACTTCAACTACAACTAACTAGAGATGGAAGAGTGATAAAATATTGTTAATGTAAACTTTTTTCTCCATCTCTTTTGTGAAATCCTGTATTTCCTGCCTTTATTTTCAATGATAAAGTTTCAATAAGTATATCCAATACTTCTATATCAATAATTAAGAGGTAAGGTGTGGGAAGTCCTTGTCCTAATAAGAAGAGTGAGATTCAATTTTTTTCTTTAGAAAAAAATTGCCTATGTTTTACTTATACAAGTTCCTTGCATTTTAAAATATTGCTTTTAAAAATTAAAAATATGAATTTTAATGAAATCAAAGCCTAAAATATAATGGACTTAATAGTAACCAACAATATTTCAGAAAAGCACTAATTTTAGCACTTGTATAGACAATTACTATAATGTTAATTTCCCATACCTTTAGGTTAATTATATATTCATATAACTGAAAGGACTTGTATTTTCATTGAAATAAGTAAGAAATAAAAATAAGAAGTAGTAAAGTTCATGGGATTATACTATTAAAAAACTGGGTAGGTGTGAATTCTGAAATCATTTCAGTAATGTATTATGTCTAAAATGTTGGTACCTGTTCCAAAAATGGCTAAGCCTGGATCACTAACATGAAACAAAATGAATGTGATTTTTAAAAGGTGTTCATTTACTTGTGAACTCTAGTATTTTAAATGCAACTTCATTATTTCATATAAAATAAATAACCTCAACAGAAGTACATAGAGAAATTAATTAAGAAATTGGCTAGCTGTTGTTGCCTATGACCATATGGTAATATTCAACCTTATACTGGTGACAACTGTACAGCATACTTACTTTTTAAGTTAACACTTATCCCATTATTTATGGGATGGTAAATATAATGGTGCCATTATAGAACTTAGAAGAGGATAAGATCCTTGCCATCATTTTCCTCCAGGAATTAACAAAATATATCAGATTAATAAAGAATCTTAAAGTATATTTGTAAGAGCTAAACACTAAATTTTGTTTCAGTTTTTTACACAGAAGGACCATGAAAGAATAAGTGGGAAAAGACAGGGAAAGAAACAGTACATACTACTTAGACATACGAAACAGCCTTCACTTATCATTCTCTCATCATCACAGATATCTATCTACTGGTTACAATGTGCCAGGGACTGTTTGAAGCGTTTTATATTTATTTCAAAATAACCAATGTGGTATAAACTATCACTACTTCTGTTTTATATTTTTTAAAGATTTTTTTAAATTTATTTGAGAGAGAGTGAAACCTCGAGAGGTGGGAGGGTCAGAGGGAGAAGTGGACTCCCCACTGAGTGGGGAGCCTGATGGAGGGCTGGATCCTGGGACTCTGGGATCACGTTTAACCAACTGAGCCACCCATGGGCCCTCATTACTTCTGTTTTAGGGATAAAGAAACTGAGGCACAGAGAAGCTGGGGAGTCTGCCCAAGGTGGTGGGGCCAGGTTTCAATCCTAGGCAGTCTGACTCCAGACCACACTCTCAACCACTAGGCTCCTGATTTATCTATTTATTAACAGGAGAGTTGTGTACCTTCACTTTTCTTATTATAACATAATATTTGGCAACTGTAGGTACCAAACTCAACTATTCACTGATTAACATCTATTCTGAAAGACTGTGACTCTTTAGCACACATGTTCTATGTGCAATGTGGTTATAAAGAGTAACAGGGTTTCATATTTTACAAATTTATTTTATTGACCTGTCTCCTCTGAAAATGGCAGGCAGAAGTTGATTATGTTTCTCTCTACATTTCTTTCAACACTGCATATTACTGATTATGAATTCAGGTATTTGACAAGAGCTCTCAATAGTTTCATTAATGATTAGGTTATAGAGAAAGTCTAATATCCTAAGATAAATGTTTAGAAAAGGCAATATAGTCATGGAGATAATAAAAACCCATGGACATAATCTAGTTGTGCCTCTGAAAATAAAATTTGTGTGCGATTATTACACAAAGGAACCTCAAAAGGTGCAATTGTAAGCTAAAGCAGGTATTGTTATTTATTATTTACTTATTTATAAAAGATTTTTTATTTATTTACTTGACAGAGAGAGAGATCACAAGTAGGCAGATAGGCAGGCAGAGAGAGAGGGGGAAGCAGGCTCCCTGCCGAGCAGAGAGCCTGATGTGGGTCTGGATCCCAGGACCCTGGGATCATGGCCCGAGCTGAAGGCAGAGGCTTAACCCACTGAGCCACCCAGGTGCCCCGTATCTGTTATTTAAAGGAAGAGGATCTCATCATTATTTTCATGTAATTAAATGTTATATGACTTAAAGTAAATTTTCCAGATGGATAAAAATATTTTTAAAATGCTTAAATAAAGGAGGATCTAACTATGTATACAGAGTTCAATTCTAGCAACCTCAAAGCAATTTTAAAACTGCCACAAAGAACAAAGATATTGTTTTATGTAATATTTTCATTTCTAACCTTAATAAACCATTTGTTGTAAATGCTTTTAATGATCAAAACTGATTTTATTCTTTTTATCTTCATCTGGTAGTATTAATGAGAAAAATGGCCAAAAAACTCAGGTACCCAAAGAAAGTAAAAGACGTAAGTTGCTTGGATGAAGTTTCAAATTAATCATCTTCCAAATAATGAAGAGTCTACAGAATTAGAGCTGATCACTTGTTCACCTCTGAGAAAGGGTGAAACAGTAGGAGGACAGGTAATTCAAATGGCTCTTTCTCTGGAACTGAGACAAATCTGGTCTTCCATTTCATCAAAACCTTTATTCTTCCTTCTCTCTTCTTTATTAAAAAAAAAACAAACCAAATTAATTGGTTCTGGAGCTGACTTGAACAGCTCCCTCTCTCCTGCTTAGCTTGCCAAAATGACATTTGCTTCACTCGGTCTCCAAATGTCAGTTAACCAATGGGAGCCAAAGCAACCTCGAGTCAATAAAATAAGGCACATCTGAGGATAATCCAAGTGTCTAACAGCAAAAGAGCTCTCTGAGGCCAAGAGGCTTCTCCAAGAATATCCCCTCAAGCCCCTTCCTCTCTATTCAACTCATCTCTTGGTTCTGATAATAGCTTCGATAGGTTCCAATACCTCTTATTCTCCCTCCTTTAATTTTCTGCTAATCACTGTTGTTTAAAAGCATTTTAGAAGCTAGCTGCATATTTTAATCATAACGAGTACATTTCCCATCATTTGTTATAATGCTTAGAACTCTCAAAGCTAAGAAACCCTAGGGGATTTGACTAATTAGGTAGAAAGCCGATGAACAATCTACCCAGTTTATCAGTGGAAGAACCATGCAATTACCTTTTGCCTATGATAAATGTTGTTTTGAAACTGCCAGAAGACCTTCTGCAGATGTTTTAAACTAATTAAACTTCCTTTAACTTGGCATTCTCCCATCTCTACTTCTTTCCTTCATTTACCGTATAGACATTTCCTACGGCTAAGAACATGCTAAATGTTACCAAAATCCTCAAATCTATTCATTTCAAATGTGACTGACTAAATTTGCTTAATGGTATCTGATTTTTAAAATGACTTCTTGAATAAAATCATAAAAAAATTTCTATTTAGGCATCTCTTTAACATGAATCACAAGAAATAGTTTTTATTTCACTTTTTTATCAATGCTCAACATTTTGGGTTTTTCTTTTCCTACCTTGGAAATATTTTCCCAATGAAGTGCTGCCAATTGTCCTTTAAAAATGATTTCACTATGTGGTTACAGTTTTAATGTTACCCTCCTAAACATCTCATACTTCCCTTTGACAGTTCCAACTTTAAATACGGGATAAGCTTTGTTAAGGTGTACTTTATGGAGATTTACCTGGACTTAAACCCTGACTCTATTGTATATTACCTATGTGACACAGGGCAAATTGGTGAAGATCTGATTTCTCATTTGCAAAATAAGAATGTCTCTACTCTAAAGAGTTGTGAGAAAATACTTGGCAAATGATAAGCACTCAAGTATTTTCTTTTCTCTTCCAGCTCTTTCTCAGACTAACTGAATCTGGTTGTTAGCATTTTAAGTTCATGACTGTTCCAAAGACCGGACCCATATCTACCTCTTTCAAATTCAAAAAATAAAAGATGTGTCCAAGGCTATACCTTTCATTAAAAACAAATCAAGATTTCATAACATCCATTAATTAACACTGTATTGACTTACTTTATATGGTTACTATTTCCCATGATTTCAGTGGAAATTAGTGGGGGAAAAATCAGGCTCTTTTCTCCAAATACTGTCCTTAGTACCACAGACTCAAAGAACTAGAGGAAGCCTTAAGGTTGATCTAATCCACCCTCCCTTCCCACCCCCAACATTTTACACATGAAAATAGCAAGGCCAAGGAGGCTAACTTTAATCCCCTACCTCCTCAGGATCACACTCACTGCTGTATTTTATGTAAATTATTTGTATCCAGGTGTCCCAACTCCTAGTCTAATATAATAAATATTAATTCCGAATTTCTCACTCTACAAATCATGCTGAGAGAGCCTCCTTTCCTTTATAACTACTGAGAAGGGAGAGATAGGAAAATTCTTCAATATTATAGGTTGAAAGATGCTTTAAATGAAACTGGGCTATGTAAAGATAACCAAAAGGAATAGTAAGAATTTAAAATCATAAAATAGTAAAAATTTTAAAATCAAATAAGTTTATAAATGCTAAAAAATAAGCTCTTAAATTAAAATTAGATATTACAATTAAAGGCTGTGATGATGACATATGTGCTGGCTATGCCTGATATCATGAGTTCCATCTTCCCAGGAAAACACTGATAAAAGCCACAAAAGCATGAGAAACTATAGTCACCAAAAAGTGATTTGCCAAGTGTCAGCAGAAAAATCACTCTATTGAATAGATGGCCTCATATTGAAAATTCAGTGTTATGAACTGAAGAAAAGCCACATAAAAAGTTAAACTTAGAGATCTTTAAGACTATATTAGGTGAATTATATTATTTCTAAGATTTCTATTTTCTAAAATATCAGTAATTATATCCTAGGAAAATTCATCCACAGGGAGAAGGCAGAAACACTGCAGCACTAACCTAACAAGTGATAGTTATGTAGTGGGTAAGATGTTCTCTAGCCAGTTTCTTGTTTTCTGTCTCTTTCTCTCATTAATATTAATTTTATATGCTTTCTTTCTAGAGAACTACTAAAAAAAAACTCTCCTTTGGGTTAAATTTAGAACCAATACAATTTTTAATCAACTGAACAAAATATAGAAGATGATTATCTTTACTATTACATAATAAAAAAAATACATCTAGATGTGGGCCTAGTTTTGGCAAAATCCACCTGCTTACTCACCCTTGTAAGAAAGAATGGATGTGAGTTTTAAACAATATTGCATTTGTTTAGCTTACATAACCTAAGGAAAAAGAGTCCTGTTAAAACCACAACAAACCAAAGCAAAACAAACAAAACACCTACTTGCATGGGCAGATAACACTGGTTCTTAGTATAAAACTCTCAAACTTCCTTTAAACCTAAGGAACTTTGCCAATTATATAAACCAATTAATAACAAAATCAAAGAAACACATTGACAATACTACAATAATAGTAGGGGAATTTAACACCTCCCTCACTGAAATGGACAGATCATCTAAGCAAAAGATCAACCAATAAAGGCTTTAAATGACACACTGGACCAGATGGACATCACAGATATATTTAGAACATTCCTTCCCAAAGCAACAGAATACACATTCTTCTCTAGTACACATGGAACATTCTCCAGAATAGATCACATTCTCGGTCACAAATCAGGTCTCAACCGATACCAAGAGATTGGGATCATTCCCTGCATATTTTCAGACCACAATGCTCTGAAGCTAAAACTCAACCACAAGAGGAAAGTTGGAAAGAACTCAAATACATGGTGGCTAAAGAGCATCCTACTAAAGAATGAATGGGTCAACCAGGAAATTAAAGAAGAATTGAAAAAATTCATGGAAACAAATGAACATGAAAACACAACTATTCAAAATCTTTCAGACACAGCAAAAGCAGTCCTGAGAGGAAAGTATATAGCGATACAAGACTCTCTCAAGAAACAAGAAAGGTCTCAAGTACACAACCTAACCCTATACCTAAAGGAGCTGGAGAAAGAACAGCAAATAAAGTCTAAGCCCAGCAGGAGAGGAGAAATAATAAAGATCAGAGCAGAAATCAATGAACTAGAAACCAAAAGAACAGTAGAACAAATGAACGAATCTAGGAGCTGGTTTTTTGAAAGAATTAATAAGAATTAATAAGATTGATAAACCCCTGGCCAGACTTATCAAAAAGAAAAGAGAAAGGACCTAAATTAATAAACCTAAGGAATTTTGGTAGGGGGTGAAAGAACATAATAACGCTAATTTAATACCAAAGTAAACAAGGTAATTTATAAATCCCCATTTAAAATTCTCTTTCATTTTCATTTATCTTCATAAAAATTCTCAGAGTAACAAACTCTCACTACTTTATCTCTAGAAAAAAAAATACCAAAATATTCGAAGTTTGTTAGAATTTGCGGATTCCCATATTTGGAGGCTGCTTTGCCCACATCATTAGCTGGCCTCTGATGGATGGTCGCTTTGACAACATGGTAGCTCTTACCAGCCCTTCACTTGGTTTGATGTTTGCCAGCTGAATCACTTCCAGGTGTGCAGACTGTGAAACCAGAGGATCCGATGACAGGGATATGATGTGGTCACAGACTCCAGAAAGAGTTTTACACTGAAAGAAAAAAATTATGGTAAACACATGTTGTATGCAACATATGAATCACTTTCTGTTTTAACTCTCTTACAAGGAAAAATAAAAACAATAGTAGAAGTAGTTGACATTTTAGTCTACAAAATCTGCATAAGAAAGGTATTCAGGTGAAAAAATACACACACACACACACACACACACACACACACCTATATTTTAAATTATGCATATAGGAACTAAACATTGAAGTACTCAAGAAAGTTATGGCTTTGTTTTGTTTCTCTTATTTGATTCATCAGATGTAAAGTCAAATGACTTTTTCCAAATAAGCTTAATAATCTGAGAAATCCTTGATAACAACCATTGGATTGAACTGAACTCAGTAATTTCTAAAACACTGATGACCATGATCAGAAAAGTTTAAAAAAAAAAAAATCCAGTCAATGACCAGGAAGAAGAATCTTCCAAATCTTCTCAGTGAACTCCTCCTACTTATTTGTCTGGACTTTACTGCTCAAGGTTTCCTTGGTATAAAGTTCCCTACCTCCTCCAGGCAAAGTTCGCCACTTCCTCAAAACTGGTTTCTCAGCATTCTCTGAAGTCTGAAAGTGTCTAATTTCATTCTAAAGCCCTCTGGAGGCAGGAACCATGTCCTACTCATCTATGACTTCTCCTCCTCCCCTCCTTCATCCTATCACCCATAGCAGGTAGAGAGATCTTACAACATATAAAGTACTCAATAAATGCAAGCTAAATAAACTGAAGAGCTAATGAGCTTTAACACTTAGCACAGTGGCTGGACTGAGGACAGAAAGCCAGTACTTTAGGTTAGGATAAATCCATTCATACTGCTTATAGAATAGATTTAAAATGCCACCTCCATAACGATATGGTTAAAAGTCAGACATGGTAAAATCATGAAGAAAGTGGAACATAACTGAATGAATCTTGGAGTATATGCCCTTAAATATGCTGGCCCTTATATGTTTCAGATTCTCGCTGTACTTACTGAAACTTGGTGTCCATCATTTGGTTTATTATTTATTATTGTTATTATTATTTTACCTTCATTGTGGGAAGAGCCATTATTTTGCAACAATCAAAATGTCATCTTCTGTCCATTTCTAACATGTCACATTTGTTCTGTGACCGCTGCATTGCTCTGTTGTTAAGGGACACAGTTCTCTCTGCCTGGTCAGGATAATAAGGACTCTCTTTTTATTTGCTGCATTCTGTACATGGCCCATGGCCCCTCGGTCTGTGCTGGGTTCAGCTTCCTCCCACCAAACAAACTGTGAAACTAAATTTCCCTTGTAATCGCACTTCTTTCTGCATCAGCCGTCAAAATACCAATACCCCTGGAAAGAACATGCCTCTGATATGAAGACAGATGTGGGCAATCACCACACTGCCAGTTACTTGCTGTGCAACTGTCAGCAGCTTACTTTATACCCTTGAGGCTCAGTTTCCTCTAGTAGAAAATGGGGTAATAAAAATTGCTTTATATGATTTATATGGCAAATCAGGTTAATGTATAAACAGACAGTCTAATATGGCTCCTATCCAAAGAACATACTAAATAAATGCTTATTTTTCCCCTGTTGCTTTCTCTACCCTCAAAGTGCTTAATCCTTACTCATGGGATGAATTTTCTCATTATTCATTCCATGGCTTTGTTGACCATGTTACAATGATTAGTGACCACACTGCATGGCCATGATGGGAGAGTTAACATCACCTTATTCTTTCTGATGTTCAAATCTCAATGCTCGGAAATGAAAGTATTTAGCCCAAAGAATTGCTAAACATCGTACCAAGAGGAAGACCATGTCCCAGAACTTGGGAATCCTACAGGGCCAGATGTGGGCATGTGCCCTGTGCAGTTGCACAGGGGTCTGCCCTTAGTATTATGCTCTGCTCTTACGGTCTTGGAATTTTCCATTTTTCTTGGACAAAGGAGGGACTTGGTGTTTTTATTTTGCACTAGGTCTCACACATTATGTAACACAACCTGGGATCCCAGTTGTGTGCGTGTGTGTGTGTGTGTGTGTTTTAAATCCTGTTGAAAATATTCACCAGCAGCCATGGGGCAAAGGACAGAATGGTAGCACTTAACATACAACAACTGGCTGCATTTCAAATTGCTTCTGCTTCAAAGTAAAGAGAACACTTTTGGCCATATTTAAATCTTTTAGCTATTCCTTTCCTCTCATGTGTGGGTACATTTTCATTCTTATTTTCTCTTTATCTCAAGGTGGGGAGATAATATAGTTAATTCTTAAAGAGTTTCTAAATAAGATACATGGATTGCATGATAATCTAAAGGATATATTAATCTAAACCAGTATGCGAAAAGAAATCTAACAATCTAAAGGCTACATATATATAAGTATATATATGTACACATATACATATAAACTGATACAGATATATGTATCTATATCAGTAAGCTAAAAAGAAACCTTCATAGTTTCTACAAATTGAAATATTTCAAGAGTCCAAAGTATAAATAAATAGGAAAGTAATGGACATATATAAATGGCTCAGTATTTATACATTATAACATTCAGGGCCTCATAGAACACACTGGTAATGAACAAGAGTAGCTCTTGTATTTAGGCACTGGAAGCACTTAGAAGTGGGGTAGAAGGAGGAAAGGCAGAAATACTAGACTGGAGATGTGTTTACAAAAAAGAAAATACCAATTAAATCCACCGTATTAAGTTGCAAATCATTTTCTCAGATTCCTCTTCTTGAGTAATTTTGTTTGCCAAATACTTGCTATGTGCAAGGTCTGCTGGAATACAAAAGATGAGTAAAACATTGACTTTACCAGAAAAGCCATCAGGATTTAACAGATTAAAGATCTTGAAAAATTAATAGAAAGACTTAGAAAAGAAACTCCACTAGAACCTTGCTTTCTGTTTTAGAGATAATGTGCTAGAACCTTTATATTGTAGTATTTGGCACTTGACTAAGTAAGTCAATTAGAAGGGGTATAAAATGGCCTGGCTTTATATGCTAATTCTGTACTCATTACTGTATCATACATCAAGCCACTACAGGAAATCACATTAAGAATACTAGGCAAAGTTCCAGGGAAGTTATTTAACATATTCTTGTAAAAAGTAAATTTGCTCATTCAGTAAAATTGTGTGATATTATGATGTTATCATTTTAAAGCATGGTATTATCTACTGCTACTTAATAGTACAGTCTAGAAAAAGAAAATTATCAAATGGTAAGAAAAATACATCTTTATTATTATAAGTGAACATCAGTATTACAGAGCACCTACCACATGTCTGGCACAATACTAAATAGTTGACCTTTGAACAGCATGGATTTGAATGGAATGGGTCCACTTATATGCAGAATTTTGAGAGTCCAGTACTGTAAATGTATTTTCTCTTCCTTAGGATTTCCTCACTAATATTTTCTTTTCTCTAGCTGACTTTATTATAAGAACACACTATAAATACAAAATTTGTGATAAGCAACTATCTCATAGGTAAGGCTTCTGGTCAACAGTAGGCTATCTAATAGTTAAAGGTTTTATGGAGTCAAAAGTTATACATGGGTTTTCAGCTGTGTCGTGGTTCAGTGCATTGTTCAAGGGTCAATCATGCTTCACATTCATTATATCATTTATCCATATAACAAGTTCCTGAAGTAGATGTTATCATAGCCAGCACAGCAGAGGAGAAAGCAAGTCAAAATAAACAGATCAAGGTCATTGCCTTGGCAGAAGAAGGATTTGAATTCTTAATCATTATGCTTACCCTATCTTATTTCAATCCTTAAGTTTCAACTTGTTTTTGATCAATTTCATTTTGTGTTGCTTAAAACCTAGGTCTTTATTAAGTGGATGTTACATAGCACATTAAAACTACATAGTATAATGAAATATAAGGCAGTCCTGCAAATCTTCTTGCAATTTAGAATGTCGTTTAGATAAACAGTAGTAGATTTGAGATTCTGAAAGGCACAGCTCTCCGGGAAAACTTAAAGTCATTTTAGCAGCAAAAGAACAACTCTATTCCAGCTAGAAGATGACTTGGTAATCACTTGTATTAAGGGTATCCTTCTGCTATTTTTGCAATATCCATAGCAAAGAATTTTAAATTCTATTTATCTCTAATTCTAAAAACAGAAAGAAAAATTTAAATCTAAAATTAAAGCCTAGTAAATAACATGCCTTTATTAAAGCTAAAGGGAACACAGGATGGCAATGAGTTTTATAACCTACCCTGTAGATTCTGTTACAAGCTACCCAAGATGGTGACAAAAAAAAAAAATAGTGACTAAATAGCAGTTGACAAACAAGGCTAGCTGAGTCAAGAACCTTTTAAAACAAAAGAGGATCATGGATTAGAATTAGTGGTACTGTGACTTTTTCTCCCCTCCAGTTGTTCATATTAATGTCAATTATAAATTAATATAATGGAACATTTTCTTGGAACGAAATGGAAAGTTTTCACATTCTGTTGTATATACATATTTTATATATATTTTCATATATGTGTATGACTGGTTCACCCAAAACTGAGTTCTAAAGGGAAAAAAGATCTGAACACAGCATGTTTAGTATAAAAGGAATGGCTTTAAAACTGTTGTAAAAGCAACATTTTAGGGTGCCTAGGTGGCTCAGTTGGTTAAGCGACTGCCTTCAGCTCAGGTCATGATCCTGGAGTCCTGGGATCGAGTCCCGCATCGGGCTCCCAGCTCCACGGGGAGTCTGCTTCTCCCTCTGACCTTCTCCTCGCTCATGCTCTCTCTCACTGTCTCTCTCTTCTCTCAAATAAATAAATAAAATGTTAAAAAAAAAAAAAAGCAACATTTTAGGGGGCACCTGGGTAGCTCAGTTGGTTAAGCATCTGCCTTCGGCTTGGGTTGTGGTCACAGGGCCCTGGGATCAAGCCCCGCATCGGGCTCCCTGCTCAGCAGGGGAGTCTGCTTCTCTCTCTCTCTCTCCCCCTGCTCATGTGCTCTCTCTCTCTCGCTCACTCTCTCTCAAATAA